GGGGGGTAAATAATTGTGATAAATCTGCTTACGTAATACTTGAACAGCCCCTGACATTAGACATTTTAAATTTATTTTGAAGAAATATTTATTAAAGAAAAATTATTATAGCGTAAATGAATTTCTGGATGACGAAGATCTGTACGCGTAATTACAGAAGACAGTGAATCTTCTATTTCCTTAAGACCTTTGTAACCTGTACTTCACAAATAATGAATTTGAATTTGAATTTGGATTTGAATCACTTTTTACAAAGTCTGCTCTTATTCATTCTTCTTGTGATTCTTGTGACTCTGCGTTCCGAATAAGCGGTAGAATAAAAAAACTTGACTATTCAAAAGTGCTTATATTAAGTTTATTTGAATAAAGATTTTCTATTTCTATTCCTATTCTATTTTATCCTATTTCTGCTTCTACTTCTATTTCTATTTCTGTTTCTGTCTTTTGAGCACGCGCGGGGCCCCGGTGTCTTATTTACTCTTCGTAATGTTTGATCCGGCCCTGTTTATATCACAAATCTGTTCTCTGGACATTCATTTTAATATTATAAAAAATAAAAATTTCATTGTTATATTTATTATTATCTATATATATAAATAAAATTGGAGTGTCTGTTTGTAATATTGAAATAACCGTTGTTTACTACATGCATATGAATATAAATACGGTACATACACCAAACTGACATTTTTTACAATTTTTGTCGGTCTGTCTGTTATTTGTTCCGGCTAATCTCTGAAATGGCTGAACCGATTCTGTATGATAAGGTATTCTGATGTAATACGGAGTAACTTAGGCTTTTATTTTAGAAATAGAAATATAAAGTTAATTTCCACTCGGACGAAGTCGCAGGAACAGCTAGAAATGATATAAAAATAATGATATTTCAGGACAATCACACAGCGCCATCAAGTCCCAAGCAAAGTAGAGCTTGTGTTATGGGAATAGAATAGAATAGAAAATCATTTATTCGAATAAACTGAATTTAAGCACTTTTGAATAGTCATAACAATCTGTTTTCTATCCACCACTCGTTCGGAAAGCTGTCTCATCACAAGAAGAACGAAACTTGTGTGTTGCTCTTTTAAATAATCCTTGTAAGTTTGTTTTTTTAATCATTTGGGAACTAAACAAGAGATATAAATACATTTTTTTGTAAATCATAACATAGTATAAAATAAAGTCGCTGTCGCTGTCTGTCCCTATAAATGCTTAAATCTTTAAAACTACGCAACGGATTTTGAAGCCGTTTTTTTTAATAGTTAGAGTGATTCAAGAGGGAGGTTTATATATATAATACATACATATATAATACACCCGTGCGAAGCCAAGGCGAATAGCTAGTATATATATATAATATACATAGAAAACACCCAGATCGTTATAAACAATCATACTCATGAATAGAAATGTTTGTACCGTGCGAGGAATCGAACCGGCGACAATCGGAAGTAGAGCGGTGTGCTAAACCGGTAGACCACTGAAGGCGTCGATAATGACTGGCATGGAAAACAGGAAAGTTAAAATAATAAAATTATTACTCACGTAGAAACCTTTTGATTAAGAGTTTTTGTGAACCCAAAATAATGTTTATAACGCTACGTTTACATTCAGCCGCTTCCCCTGCCACTCGTGCTGCCGGAAATATTGCCGGGCGACAACTGAGCGAGAGGGCTGAATGTAAAAACACGCTGCCACTCGCGCTGCCAGTCCTTTGACTCGCGCACGAAAAACCGACAATCGAGCGAGCGCCGGGCAGCGCGAGTGGCAGCGACAATGGCATGGGAAGTGTTTCCACTCGTGTTTACACTCTCGCGCTGCTCACTTCTCAGCCCACTCGGGCTGAGTGTAAATTGGACTTAAGTAATGTTGTATGTTAGTCGGAGTCTTTGTCGATAAAGTATTACTTCAAATTGCTGTCCCCAAGTATCGTTTACAAAAAGTTAATAGGTCTTTTATGGGAATAGGTATAAAAATTTACAATAAGATACCAAAGGATATATTGGAATTACCCTTAAATAAATTCAAAACATCTGTTAAATCATATTTACTGAGCAAAGCCTATTACTCACTAAACGATTACTTGAATGACGAGTGTGCATGGCAATAGTTGTTCATGCACTGAATTTTCATTTAATGTTAGACATAGACACCTATATAAAAATACATTGTATTTCTTGAGTTTCTTGCCAGTTCTTCTCAATTGGATCTATATACTGAACTGGACGGTAGGGAAAAAATAAAATTATAATATAAAAATTTGACGTTCATAAGCGGCTAAAATGTCCTACATGAATAAATGATTTTTGAATTTGAATTTGAATTTGAAATATTGTAATTGCAGAGTCGTCTTTCACCTGTTACAGACTCTGGGCACATTAGAATAATAGGGCACCTATGACCATAGTAATAAAGCACTTTTTTTATACTACTATGGTGGCAAACAAGCATACGGCCCATCTGATGGTAAATGGTTACCGTAGCCTATGGTCGCCTGAAACATCAGGTGTGTCACGTGCGCGTTGCCGACTCTTAAGAAACCTTAATATACCCTTCTTGAAAAACCCCATGCTGTAGTCTCGTGAGAAAACCTCGGCAGGATGTTCATTCCACAACCTAAGTGTACGCGGGAGGAAGCTCCTCTGAAACCGCACTGTCCGAGACCACTTAGGTTCTAGCGTGTGGGAATGAATTCCCTGTCGATGGCGAGCGGTGCGATGGTAAAAGGTGGCCGTAGGCATCATGTCGAACAATTCCTCAGAACACAGTCCGTTGTATAATCGGTAGAACACACAAAGCGAAGAGAAGTTTCGCCTCAAACTAAGTGGTTCGATACTGCTAGAGAGATTCGGATCATCGACAATTCTCATAGCACGTCTCTGAACCGAGTCAAAAGGACCGAGCTGGTATCCAGGTGCTCCTGCCCAAAGATGAGAGCAGTACTCCTTGTGCGGCCGAACTTGAGACTTATATAAGAGGAGTCTCTGGTCCGCAGTGAGGTACCGCTTCGATCTATTAAACACACCGAGTTTTTTGGACGCCAGCTTGACCTTTTAACTATTTTGTTAGAGACAAAGTCATTTTTGAACATGACTCTTTTGTTATCTGGGGATGCCCTACCTTCAAAAGAAACCAGGCAAAAATAACTTTAAAAAGTCGTTCTGTGATGAGGGGTTGGAGTTCTTGTTAGACATTTAAAAAAAAAAATAAGAAAAACAAACAAATTGACCGTAGTCGGTAAGCATTTGTTAAGACTGATTTTCAGGCGAGAGTATCGTTGCTATCGGTTATCGTTTGCTAATGGAGTAACAACTAGACTAGACCAGGGGGCCCCAATCCATCGCGGGGCCCTGCACGTGTCCAGTGAGCCCAGTGGGGACGAGGGGACTGTGTGATTATTTTATTCCAATCTATACATATAATAAAACTGGAGTGTCTGTTTGTAATATTGAAATAACCGTTTTTTACTACATGCATATGAATATAAATACCTTAAATACAGCAAAAAATCACTTTTTAAAATTTTTGTCTGTCTGTCTGTCGATCCGTTTGTTCCGGCTAATCTCTGAAATGGCTGGACCAATTTTAACGGGACTTTTTTTGCCAGGTATCTAATGTAATAAGGAGTAACTTAGGCTACTATTATTTTAGAAAAATAAAGTTAATTTTCACGCGGACGAAGTCATGGGAACAGCTAGTTATTATATAAATAAATTACATTAGTTATCGTATGCATGTAGTAATTAGTTTTTTACTACATGCATACGAATATGTATACGGTACATATACCAAAATATTTTTTTTTATAATTTTCGTCTGTCTGATATTTGTACCGGATAATCTGTGAAATGGCTGGACCGACGGGAGTTTTATTGGCAGGTAGGTATTACTTAAGCTACTTTACTGTTTGTTCCGGCTAATCTCTGAAATGGCTGGACCGATTTTGATGGGACTTTTTATGGCAGGTAGCTGATGTTGTGAAGAAAAATTCTTTTATTTTAGTAAAATAAAGTTAAATTCCACGCGGACGGAGTAATATAAGGAAAGCTGACCCCGCCTCCATGTGGGGTATACAGTTAGGGAGAGTTATAATAAAGTTGTGAACTTAAAAGTTTTGTTTTTCCGTACATAATACATAATCTGGAGAGGATTGTTAATAATGTCAATTATTTATTCAATGTCAGGTTAACCTCCACGTGGTTACCCCTGGAACCCATCGTGATAATTTCCTGGTAAATTTACCACGATAAGACAACTGACCTGCCTCATGTTTATCTTATCATCCTCCACTGGTGCCCCGCCAGCGTATACCGTTAGCGCAGGCGGGTGCCTTGCATTATCATCCATAAGAAAAAAAACATAATTTTACCAGAAGTAAACTGTAAAAACTGGTTTATATCAGTTTAACCTTTTCAGCCGTCAAAGCAGCTTGCTTTGTAAGCTGTTTGGTTGTAGGGTGCAGATTAGGATGTGAAATTACAAGGTAAGAGGCGTGACAGCTTAGTACTCTGGAATGGCGACGCATGAGTGGTATCATGGGTGTCACATGATAATGTCTCCAATTTAAACGGGGATCGAAATTACAACGGCCTGAGCCGAGGTTCGAACCCCTAGCGGTGCCCTCAGACTAAAGTCGTATCCGTCAGGCGGGAGTTGGACTTCAGCCCCTCCATAAGGACTAGATGGCGCTGTGTTGATTTGTCCAGGATATTATTACGTCTTCGTGTGTATCTCAACTTCATCAGTACCCGCCTCCAGGCAGTTTTGTAAGCTATACTTTCTAAAGAATGAAACAGAAGTTTTGTAGACCCTATTTTCAGAAGAATGTAATATTTAACTGGGTATTGAGGCTAAACATCTTAGTTCTCCGGAATGGCAACCCAAGAGGACCACGTCCGTCACATGATGACGTGATGTCCATGGTGCTATTCATCTTTCAGTCAGTTCGGCTTTCCAGTTACATAAAAAAAGAAATTAAAAAAATAATTGTACTAAATTACCTTTGGCGATTTCTGATTGCTGCTTTTCTGTACAGGCTGTACCGCCTCTTCGGAAATCTGTACATTCTCATTGGATTCGCTTTCCGCTGATTTGCAACTGCCAATTTCACATAAACATATCAGCAAAAACATTACGAACAGTCTTAGCACTATTGTTTTGGACGCCATTTAAAAAGTTTAATTTAAAAATAATAATTTAAAAATAAACTCATAAAAGTGTCTTTACACTATTCTTTATTTGAAATTACTGAAAGAGAAGTTCATTGTATATTCAATAAGAATGCCTTTGCATGATTTGTTTTTAATTTAAAAAAAAAATAGGTCGTGACGTTTTTAAATTCACGGTCGGTGCACGCATTCGGAAATGGAATGGACATAAAAAGCGCGGGTAAATGTTTGAGCTGTCAAACTGTTATGGCGGACTCCAGGCGACTGGAGAAGATCAGACTGCAAGACGTATGTTATTTTTAGAGAATTGAAGGGGCGTCGAGTATTAGCGGGTCTGAATGCGTCAATAAATTAGTCTTGCGTAGTTGACGAACGAACTAGTTCGTAGATCCGCCGCTCTTTAGTACTTTATTTCATTCGAAGAAATACAATAAAGTCTTAAAAAAAATTTACTCTATCTTTCATCGAATGAACCAACGATTATATATACAATTAAAAAAAATACGTTTCTTCGCTCTTTACACCGTTAGTTCATTTGATGAAAGATGATTTCGCTCAATAAAAAATAGTAAAGTGTGGGACGTCGCTAAAAAACTATAACGAACTGTACTTGGGTCTAAAGAAGCGAAACCATATTTGTGACCAACAAAAACACTAACCACTAAAACCGAATACTTATACGCCTGGAGGTTAGCCCGAGTACTGCCTTCCTCTGGTTTGAGTTGAGAGCGAACGAACGAGCGTAATAGTTCGATGAAGAGAAAGATTTGTATCCTTGTACTATAAATACAAATTAGTTTTAATATTAGTCATTGTAGTTAATAAGTAATGTATGATTTCTATAACATACTTTAAGCAGCATAATATAATTACGGTAGTGTACCTGTACTCGCGACGTCGTCCGCGTGGAATTTAACTTTATTTTTCTAAAATAAAAGTAGCCTAAGTTACTCCTTATTACATCAGCTACATGCCAATAAAAGTCCCGTCATAATCGGTCCAGCCATTTCAGAGACTAGCCGGACAAAATTTAAATAAATGTTATTTCGGTGTACTGTATTTATATTCATAACCATGTAGTAAAAAACGGTTATTTCAATATTACAAACAGACACTCCAATTTTATTTATATGTATAGATAGATGCCTTAAGCCAGATGTATAATGTGTAACTGTTTGTTGATTAATAAATAAAAAAAATTGCTGTACTGCTAAGAAAAAGAGCGACGAACTAAACTGAGGGATCTCAGTCGGGAACTATACGCAATACTATATATACGCGCGGTTATACTATAATAAATACTATCTTGAGACAAAAATATAACTTTACAAGTGTGCTTTATATCAACAACGTTTTAATCAATGTAGGTAACAGACGTTCATGTTTTTTTAACGTATGATAATGTAATGGTGCACCCTCGTGTGCTAACGGTTTACACTGGCGGGGCACCAGTGGAGGATAAGTTGAGTATGAGAACCATAAGTTGAGTATGAGATCGTGTTTTAGCGAGAGTTAGTACAGTAGGATTACGAATCCTTATAAATTAATATATAAAAGAGGGAGTGTATTTATTGAAAAGAAAATAATTAATGGAAAAGGAAGTAAAAATACGATTTCGACCTGGAAGAACGTCTTCCACACTCCGAACACCCCAAAGTAAGCAATGTAACACCAAACTTACTCAACTTTGCTCAGTAACGTCCCGATGTGTAGTACTGTTTAGTGGCCACGCACTCTACAGTGTATATTTTCATCAAAAACAATTATATTGTGTTAAATAAATCATTAATTATCTTGTTTTATATAGATAAAAATACGGAGCGTCCTTTTAATTCCAGTTCTTATGTTCAATTGTTTTATTATTCTTTTTTTGAAATTTAAGTGGCCACATGGTTTTATACTTGACGGCCTCGGTGGTCCAGCGGTCTAGCACACCGCTTTACGTCCAATGGTCGCGGGTTCGATTCCTCGCACGGCACAAACATTTGTATTCATAAGTATGATTGTTTGTATCGGTCTGGGTGTTTTCTATGTATGATATGTATGTATTTACGAAAAAAAAAAATCTATGTATTTGTATCAGTTATCTAGTACCCATAACACAAGCTTTAGCTAGCTTAACTTGTGTCTAGATGGCGCTGTGTGAATTGTCTTGAGATTATTATTATTATTATTACATGTGGCCAGTATGACCGAGCGCCCTTTGCTCCAGTAAGCAAGCCGGTGATACAACCTGGTTAGACTAAGGTTCGGAATACGGAACAAGCACATCGTGGTAAATTCACCAGGAATTTATAACGATGGTTTCTAAGGGAAACTGCATGGGTAACCTGACATGGTAGATTCCTAGCAATCCCCTTCTGAGGGACGTGTTAATTTTTTAGGGGGTGATAATGGAATGGTGTACTCGTCTGCACTAACGGTATACGCTGGCGGGGCACCAGTGGAGGATGATAGGATGAGCATGAGCTCAGGTCTGTTAGACCATCGTGACAAATTAAACAGGAAGAAAGAAAGAATATTTATTCAGTGCTTTTCAACAATGTTACAATATAAAAAACAAGAAAACGACAAAAGATTAAATAAAATGTATATATAATTAAACTTAATTTGTTTAGTACTAAACTAGTTTTCCACGGTGAACCGAGATCAAACCTGACATGGTACATTGCTAGCAACAGGTTCATTGACGAAACGAGACGTACCGCTTTTTTTATACCACGTAGGTGGTAAACTACCTTACGGTCTGATGGTAAATGTTTACCATAGCGTAAGGACGTCTGAAACACCATGGGTGTCACGTGCGCATTGCTGATCCTTAAGAAACCTACCCTTCTCCTAGGTGCTGTAAAGTTTCATCAAAATCTGTTCAGTAATTTTTGCGTGAACGAGTAACAAACATCCATGCTCACAAAATTTCGTGTTTAAATTATTAGTCATTACGTAGTATAAAACGAAGTGGCTGTCGCTGTCTGTCCGTCCCTATGTATGCTTAAATCTTTAAAACTACGCAACGGATTTTGAAGCGGTTTTTTTAGTAGATAGAGTGATTTAAGAGGAAGGTTTATATATATAATACATGTACACCCGTGCGAAGCCGGGGTGAGTAGCTAGTGATTTAATATATTACGATTATATATAAGATGTAATATATATAATGTATATGACGAAATATATACGATAAATCTGTGCATATTGACAGATATTTTTCCAACACTATTAAAATATTATACTAACAGAGCAATTAAAAGTCAATCGAAAATTGATGACTCTACGCCAACCAAAACAAAGCAGTTGCTTTCATGTTGCCTTTGCCACAGCGCGTAAAAAAAACAAACACGAATGATGGACATCGACGTCGAGATGTTGGCAGCGTTTGACATGACAGCTTGTTTTGGCGGGAGATTGGCGGTGTTAAATCAAGTTCAATGTGTTTACAGCGTTAAATCATTATTTATAGGTTATGGGATTGTAGTGTAGACTAAACGAAATTGTGTTTTAAACTGATCATCACCATCATCATCATCATCATGATCAGTCAACTGCAGTTCTCCGCAGGCCTCTCCCAAGGCACGATCTTCACTCCTCTTCCAGTTTTTGCCGCAACCCTACATATGTCGACACTCCACCTAGCTTCTTACACTACGTTTGCAAATTCACGGTTTATAGTTTATGGGATTGTATTGTAGACTAAACGAATCTGTGTTTTATACCGGTCATCATCATCATCATCATCAGCCAACTGCAGTTCTCCGCAGGCCTCTCCCAAGGCACGATCTTCACTCCTCTCCAGTTTTTGCCGCAACCCTACATATGTCGTCACTCCACCTACATAGTTTCTTACACTACGTTTGCAAATTCGCGGTTTATAGGTTATGGGATTGTATTGTAGACTAAACGAATCTGTGTTTTATACCGGTCATCATCATCATCATCATCATCAGCCAACTGCAGTTCTCCGCAGGCCTCTCCCAAGGCACAATCTTCACTCCTCTCCAGTTTTTGCCGCAACCCTACATATGTCGTTATTCCACCTAGCTTCTTACACTACGTTTGCAAATTCGCGGTTTATAGGTTATGGGATTGTAGTGTAGACTAAACGAATCTGTGTTTTATACCGGTCATCATCATCATCATCATCATCATCATCATCAGCCAACTGCAGTTCTCCGCAGGCCTCTCCCAAGGCACCATCTTCACTCCTCTTCCAGTTTTTGCCGCAACTCTACGTAAGTCGTGACTCCACCTAGCTGCAGAGCGTCCTACACTACGTTTGCCAATTCGCGGTCTCCACTTTAAAACACGCCTACTCCAGCGAGCATCGGTTCTGCGACAGATATACAATCTTTATCGTCTAATATTTTTTACAAATACAAATAATTTAAGTCCCTGAATTCTGAGGTAGGTATAGAAAATACCTGTGTTTCAGAAGTCAGTGTCCTCTTCAATATTGAGGTGTTATTTATGTGAGTTTGTTATGATATTTTACAATTTAAGTAGGTTGATGTAGTGGCGATTCTACTATCATCGTGTGGTACCACCGTTGTATTGGTTACGATGGGACAAGAAGAATAACAAGCTTGTCTTTCGAGACCGAATCACCTTGTATATATATACATCACAGAAGACCGAAGAGCTGGCAGCTACCTTGGACAAAGAATTAGTCTAGCTATTCAAAGAGGAAACGCTGCCAGTATCTTCGGAACGTTGCCTAAAGGGACCCCTTTTAATAATATATTTTAGTCATCATTTTTTTTTGTATGTAAAGGGAGGGGACGTTCTAAGAAAAGATGGATAGATTATGTGAAAGATGATATGAATAAAAGAAGAGTATGTTCAGATATGACGACCGATAGAGAGCAGTGGAAGAGAATGACATACTGCGCCGACCACAAATAATGAGATAAAGGCAAGGCAATGATGATGATGATTTTTTTAAGCTTTTTAATTTTAGATTCTTATTTGTACAATTAGGTTATGTAAATACTAGTAATAAATATTGGTTAATTTAATAACTAAAATATCCGATGACATCAACACTAACATTACATAAAGTCGTTCAACTTAAAAATGTAAGTAATTATATCAATTGTAAATATTTTGTTAATATACATAATATAATTGGAATCACTGGATTTATAACTTCATCATCTTTCCTGCTGCTTCTACATGAACACAAGAATCATCATACTGTCCTGAGTTACTTTCAAAATTTAATTTTAATGTACCAGCTAAACGTACCAGATTTACTCCTTCTATTTCTATACCTTCTGTATCATCTAACTATAGGCAAAACAGTTATATGTGGCGAGCAAGTAAAAACTTCAATAGATTAAGTAGGGTGTTAGATATTGATTTGTTTTCCGATAGAATATCTTTAGCGAGGGCCGTGATGAGCAGGCAAT